TATAATAGTAGCAATAAGGAATGCTGGATCCTCTGATGCAGGAGGGTCCAAGGACAGGGGTGATGATCCTCGATCCTTGATTCTCTGATCTGAGTCGGCAAAATCAACGGTTTTGTCAGACAACTGTTGCCTTTTTGGTTCAGCGATCTCCAAACCATTTTTTTGCGGTCATGTATCTTTGTCAAATCCAGAACTTTCCTCTACATGGATCAGACTCAGCTCATTATGAAGCTGCTTTTAACGTGACACAATTTACCAAAGTGGTGTCCCTAATGCAGTGTTGTCCGCCTCCTTTTTCTTGTCTTTTTTTGCTGCTCTCCTCCCAAATCTCTCACATTTCATGCATAACTGAATTCATGATACTTCAAATGGAATGAGTGATATGGAAGAAAAACAGAGGATAGAAATAGGGGGTTGCCAGATAATGAGGGAAATGCTACAATGGTGAAAACCTGTTATTTTAAAGGAATCTTTGACTCCTTCTATACTCTGCGTCCTATGGGCTATTAACCTGGTTCACTAACATGGGTGAGCAGGTCTTCCAAAGTTGAAGCATAAAATTCTAATTAATTTTGCTCGGAAAAAGTGCGAGTCGCTTCTGAAGCTTTGCTGTCCGTTTATTAATATTCTTATGGTTGAATGTGTAATGTATCCTGCTTGGTCTTCAAACGTTAACAGAACATCTAATTATGTGTGATCCTAAATTACATGTCACTCCATCAAAAGTACAGAGCATATTTTTTCACTAAAATTGAATAACGTTGAGCTGGAACCAAGCAAAACTTTCTCCAAACTATATCCAATAACATCACTGTCACTTTTGAACACACTGATCTTCTTATTTCCTTGGACAAAGATTTATGACACGCTTTTGTGCTTCACCCAGTTTTCTCGCTAAATGATGTAACAGTGTTCCCTGAAATTCAACAATCCAAATCAGACTCGATACAATGAACTTATTTTTCATTCACCGTACAAATGTTAGCTTACATGTAACTCTACCAAAGTAATACGCTTTCTTATGGTTATTTTCACATTTGCCATAAAGAGATTAGAGTTGTGTTGTTTTTGAATTGATACTAATAAAATAAGTCTGTTTAAATAATATCCACAATAATATAAAAACCTGCACATTTTAATTTAAATGTTTTTGTTATTTTCACATCACCATGGATATTGAATACATTTTTTGTGTGTATATCTTTGCGACTCCCTGAAAATCTCTGCAGAGCTTATAAATGGGGTCCCACATTGCATAAACAAAAAATAACTATGTATAGTTTTGAACAGACACGCACATGAACTTTTTTTTGTCATACAATAGTATTCATCGGGAAACAACTTTGATACTACCAAATATTTTAATAATTATTTTACTAATGTAAGAGAATAGAACATTTGAAAGTGTTCACACAGATGTATTTTCAGCCTCTGTCACATCCCGATCAGCTTTTTGAGACAGAAAAGTTAAAAAAAGAGGACCACCGTCACAATCAGCTTTCGCCCTAAAGAGTCAAAATGTGACTCGCAGGGTTCTTTCTTATGAATGCAAAATAAGTTTCTAATAAGATTAAAACAGTCTAATTGTGTGGAGATTGGAGACTATGTCTCAGATAATATGGCCCTGACCTGCGGAGTGCCACAGGGGTCGATTCTGGGACCTCTCCTGTTCAATATTTACATGCTGCCATTAGGTCAGTTAATTCAAAGTATGAAAGTGTCCTACCACAATTACGCTGATGACACTCAGATCTATGTCTCACTGACTGCAGGAGAGCATGGACCGGTGGACTCACTCCTTCACTGTATCCAACAGATCAGTGACTGGATGCAATACAATTTTCTCCAGCTAAATGCAGACAAAACCAAAATAATTGTCTTTGGTCCCGAGAAACAAAGAGAGACCGTCATTTATCACCTTCAGTCTCTCTCCCTAAGGCCTTTAAATAAGGTCAGAAATCTGGGAGTAATAATGGACTCTGACTTAAACTTCAATAGCCACATTGGATCGGTAACATCAGCAGCTTTTTATCATCTGAAAAATATTGCCAAAATTAAAAATATTGTGTCCAAAGCAGACTTTGAGATTCTTATCCATTCTTTTGTTTCCAGTAGGCTAGATTACTGCAATGGCCTGCTCACAGGTCTCTCCAAACAGGCTGTAAAACAGCTGCAGTACATTCAAAATGCTGCAGCCCGAGTCCTGACTAGAACCAGGAAGTACGACCACATTAGTCCGGTTGTCAGGTCCCTGCACTGGCTTCCCGTGGCCCAGAGGATAGACTTTAAAGCAGCTCTCCTGGTGTACAAGTCTCTCCATGGCCTCGCACCAAAGTACATCCATGATATGCTAGTCCCATATGAACCAGCCCGGACTCTGAGGAGCGCAGGGACGGGACTCCTGTTAGTGCCCAGAGTCAGGACTAGACAGGGGGAGGCTGCTTTTCAGATTTATGCAGCTAAAGTCTGGAACAGTCTTCCTGAAGATGTGAGACTGGCTGCCTCTCTGTCAATGTTCAAATCCATGTTAAAGACTTTTCTTTTTTCCTGTGCATACAACTAGAGAATTTTATCTTTTTAACACACCTTGTTATTTATTGTTGTAACTTTTTGTGTTTTAAACTATTTTATTGTTTTTAATTACTTGTGTGATTCTTATGTTTTTAAATTACTTATGTGATTTTAATGCTTTTTAATCACATATGTGTTTTTGATTGTATTTTAATGGTGATGATTTGTGCATTGTGTGGTGTGGACTGTGAGGCGCTTTGTGTTGCCCTGTGCAGGAAAAGCGCCCTATAAATAAAGATTGATTGATTGATTGAATTTGTTTGCAACATTTTACAAAACTCTTTCTTTTGGAGCAATCAACATGGATCAGTCATGAAACGACAAACGTTGATACCTCAGCTTTAAGTTTTGGTTCTGGGAATGATAGAAACAAATAATCCAATACTATGGAAAATGTCAGGTAAATAAATAATCTTTCAATTTATACAAACAGGTGGCAGGTCTTTCTACACTAAATCTACTTTTTTTTTTTTTATTGCAGATATGCCCGTCCTACCAAGGTTTATCATTTCTCCCCGATAGCCCCAGGTCTGTCTCCACTCACCTTTAATCACCCCATAGTCTCTTAATTATCTCCCCAATCCCTTGTTTATTTAGACTGAGCTTTGAATCCAGGAAGCAGCCACGAATCAGGCTCGGGACATAAGCTGTCGCAGATGTCGCAGTGGTTCTGTTTGATGACCAATTAATTAGCAAACCATAAAAATCATTCTTGTTTGTTATGGAGAGAAAAACCCCTATACAAACTGGATCGAGCACTAAAACTATTACTTTGGACGTGTCTTTTCTAACCCCAGTCTCCAATCCGATCCTAGCCTGGACTTCTTTCATAGGCCTAAATTAATGATGTCTGAACGTCCACCTTTTAGAGTACCCTCAAAATAAACAAAATAATCAACTTTTCAAGCTCCTAGCATAGCCTAATTGAAGCTTCCTCCAGTGCAGAACTCAATTGTCTCGCTGTGATTGAGTTAGAGGCCTAATTAAAATACTTGAATCGACCTCCAAAGTTACCCACCGCTATAATGGGCTAAGTCACCTCATCGGGAACTAGGGGGCGGATTTTGAACGGCTAAAGACCAAAGCAGTATTAAGTGGTGGTGCTGTAAGAGGCCGGTTTCCTGGCGTTTAACCCCTGCCAGGATCAGACACTGTGGGCCATTGACACGGTTAATCCCAGCTCCGTGTTCAGACCTCCAAAGCATGCGAGGATACTGATACCACACAGCCTTAAGTCGTTTCCCCCAAAAGAAAAGCAGGCCCACCCTCAAGACTCTTGGACCAGCATTGCCTTGGCACAGGAGCCACAAATCAACAAAAAAAAGCTAGCTGCCACCCTTCTGAAATGGAAGGAGAAACTTGGTGATTTGCATTAGCTGTATATGCTTTGCTAATGTAGGCAATGTATTTGAAATCAAAAGAGAAACTTTTTATGAGGAATATAGGTGTATTTTTTACATATTTGACCTGGTAATGACGCAGTGGCTGTCAGAATGGGAATCTTGGTAAACTTTTTATCACAGGTTTTGTCTACATTGCTCCCAGATCAATAGTTTTTGGCAGAGAAACATATAGCATCCTAGAGACCATTGTGATAGAAAGGTAAAGTTAAAGTTTATTTGCCAAAATCAGAAAGAAACAGTGAACCAAATTGAGAAGATATTAAAGACAGTAGAGGACCAGTGTTTTGTCGCTTATTAGTTTGAGCTACCTCAGCTGTTTATGATGTAATGCAAACCTCTTCATGCCCGTAAAAGATTGAAATACGAACAAATTAAGACACAAGTGTCACATTTTATGAAATTTGAGGTGAGATGTAGATGGATCCATGTTGTGATATGTGGGTTTGAAGAGTAAAACTTTTGTGAAAACTTTGGTTTAAGTAACGGCTCTTGTCAATCTACACTACTCCTGTATAGCATCCAATTGGCATCCTCTCTTGTCGAGTTGAACTGCTCCATACGTCATTTTAATGCCGCAGAGATGAACAAAATCTTATGTAAACAACACTAAAGTTGCAAACAAGAGGTGAGACTTTTGGGAAAATCTCCTTTAATATCTCCTAAACGTAAATCACAAAATTACAAAACTTTTTTAGGTAATTTTGTGTTTTAGGTTGTAAATTATCTTATAACAATTTGGGCGCCAAAGTACAAGAATTGATGAGATCCAGAATCCAGGACACATTCAGCGACTTGTCTTATGTCATCTTTTCTCATATGTTTCTCTTGTATTTATTTCAGTTGTTTATTTAAGTATTAATCAAGTCATCAATCTATTATAATGTTCCAGAGCTCCACCTTTTGTCTGCGGGCTAGCATACAGGCCAAACCCTCATGTCTCATTATTGCATCACACACACACCCCTAAACCACCCGCTCACTCAATTCCTTTCAAAGTAAAGGTCAAATCCTTCACTGGGCTTTATTTCAGTCTGCACCGTTGCATCTTTCTCGGCGCCAGGCATTGTCTAAACCCAAACAACGGCTTAATAACGTTATCCGTGGCCACACCTCGTGACGGCGGCTCTCCAGGTTCTCCGTCCGCAAAACGCCGTCTCTGCGCGCTTGTTTGGTCTTATCTCGTTCTACACACAACGGCCGGTTTAAAATGCTGCTTTTGTTTTGTTTTTTTCCGGAGGTTGAAAACGCGAAGAGGGACGAGGCCTTGGAGGATCGCGGCACCATCAGCGTTAATGCAGAGAGCTCCATCTGCTGCGAGAGGCTTTGAGCTGGTGCCAAACTGCGCTGGATGGTGAGGCTCAGGGAAAGTTATGTGTTTTTGGCTGATGAGGAAAGAGAGAGAGAGAGAGAGCGGCGGCTTTTGGTGAGCCATCGAAATGGTAACGTAAAACAATTCACTTTTTTTATTCCCGTTTTTGTCGGGCCGCTTTCAGAGAGTAACCCCACTATTCTTCTGTTCCAGAGGCTTAGACCACGTTAAAGTTAATGTCACTTGTCGTTGAGGACGTTTGCAGACCTCTAGTGCAGGGGTCTCCAACCTGTAGCTAACAGTAGCTCGCCAGCCCCTTTCAGGTAGCTCCCCAAAGGATTAAGAATACATGATCTTGAATGATTCACTTTTGAGTCAATACATGTCCATTATAAGTATAAATATTGAGCTACACAAGTAAAATGTTTCATCTGTTTTTCATGTTTTGTCATTATTATTACATAGATTTGTATTATGACCACACAAAGGAGAAATTCTCTGCCTCTTCTGTTCTCTTCCGATTGAAAAAGGTTGGAGACCCCTGCTCTTGTGAAAACCACATCACATTATAGTTTATTTGCCATTTGCAGTAAAACCACAGTGGAATACATGTGCAAAAGTGCGCTCGAGTGCACCAGGCAAATACATAAATAAAACAAGCTAAAAAGATAAACTGTATTGATTTCACAACGGAAAAATTGACATAGATTACATTTTAGAGCTCAGGGATAGTGGGAAGTTTGAGGAGTTTGCGTTGAAGTCTTGCAGCAGAGCACAGAGCGAACAAATATGAAAGTGCAAAAACTTGTCAATTTTAATAAACGTGTAAACTGATTGGGTCAAGCAGCCATAAAGAGGAATACGTGTGCAACAACATCTCTGGATAGGAACTTTTTAAAGCCTGAACATTTATTAATTTATTCCAGATCCAACTGCTAACTCTAATTTATTGCTACCTCAGTTTGATGTTTTATAGGAATCCGTGTTTGTATCCTGAGCCGATCTCTAACATTTATCTAAGAATGAGTCAAAAACAAAAATAATAAAGTACAGCGGTAAAAAAATGTGATGAATCCCATTAAAACTTCATCCAAGTTTCCAGTTAGTACAGTGTAACGGACCCCCACCTTACCATTTACAAACTCATTCAACCTCACAGTCTCGTGTATAAGCAAAGCATAATGACTCCCCGTGTTTTGCTGATTCAGTCGTTCTCGGTGCATTCGTCCTGCGTTCTCTTTCAAACTTTATTAAACGCCTTTGTGTGTGCAGGGCCAGCTAGAGCTTAATCTTAAACAGAACATTAACTTTGGAGCAAAATGATAAGTGGACCGCATTAATATTCATGGCACAAGAGCAAAGTCTGCCTCTTGTTTTTGTCCTGCTATTGATCGTGAGATAAAGGTTGCCGGAGTCCGAATACTCGAGCCAAACAAGGATTCCGGAGCACTGGTGCGCGCTCGCAAAAGGTCATTTTTGACAAATTAGTTACTGGACGGGTCAGTGCAGAGGCCAGGAGCCGGTGGGGAGGGATCAAGGGTTAAGTTTGTGCAAACACAGACACAGCCATACCACCGAGCGGCTTTTTGAAGTCCCTGAAATGTTGCACTTTTGTTTGACGACTTCATTCTGTCAGATTAGAAAACCTTCTAGAACGCAACGCTATACCATTTATTTTATCTTGACAAACCAGTAATTTGACGTTCAAGCATCACCTTCATCAATAAATCGATTCAATGTTAATTATAAAGCGCTTTTAAAAACTTCCATCACCAAGAGTAAGAGCTAGACCCCCACAGCCGTAGCCGACCACCGACCAGAGTGCATAAACAACACCATAAAAAGTAGAATATTGAAATGTTAGAGTAAAAGGACTATAGCACAATACACAATAATGATGATTATAAATGATAATAAAAATTATCAATAATAATAATTTTTCCTTTTGTTTTTCATTTCAGTTTTTTGTCTGTTATGTCTGTATTTCTATTATTTTTTTGGATTAAAACTGTAAATAAAACACTAAAAAAACTAAACAATAAGTACAGTGTGTCTAATATACTTAAAGTAGATACAACACAATAATACATCGTAAATACTATGCAAGAGCCACGTGTAAAGCTGGAGTAATTCACTTTTTTGAGGCCATAAATGCAGTGATGGGAATAACGGCGTTACCGTTACTTTTTTCAGTAACGAGTAATCTAACTAATTACTTTGACAATAACTATAACGCCGTTATCATTTCCGACATCCCGTTACTGCGCGTTACTCAAGACGCACAATGAACGTGCTGTCATGAGAGAAGGGAGGATGAGAAAACCTCTCGGCAATTATTGGCTGATGTAAATCATATTTCCTTTACAATCTACATGTCTACAGTTGAGAGGATGGCTCATAAATTGGGTTTTTGAAACAAATATGGGTCTTAATCGCGCTCAACCACGGCTTGTATCACCGTGAGGTCAGCCACAGAGGAGCGCATGTGAGCGCAGAAGTCGGCTGCATACAATTCCATCGATAAGCTCCTTGCTCTTCCTGGTTTATCTGCTAAGGACAGCAACAGGTTTGGCTAACATACATATAACACATTTTTACATAATCTAAAATGCACATAGGGTAATTTTTCAATGACTATAGGAATGATAAGAAAGAGAGGTGAAGTGTAAGACGGTTGATTTTAGAAATTGGATGCAGCCGGCTGCAGCAAAACAGAGGAGTTTACGGAGGACACACGCGTTTTGTTTTACTTTTTAAAACTCATTGGACTCATTTCCAAATGGAGGATTACATATCTACGCTCAAACCATTCACTGGATTTAAACAAGGAACTGGTCTGAACCGAAGTGGACTGTGCAGGTCATTTATAAGGTATAGCTATAAGGTAAGACCCATAACTCATAGTTTTGCGTTTTGTATGAACAAACAATGCGGGCATAAAACATATTTTTCTGTAGCCAAACAAATTGTCCACTTGATTTATATGATGTATATGTTCATCTGATTGGACTGAAGTCAGTGCTTCACCGGCCTCACCGCTCGTCACCGGTGTTTCCACATTCACAGTGGCGGGCTTTACAGCACAGTGAGAGATGAAGAGTGAACAGGACTTCAGCAGCAAAACAGCCTTTTCTAGATGGAAATATTGGCACTGTTAAAGGTAAAAATGCGCACGTCGGGTGCACATTATGTTCCAGAACAAAACGAAAAAGTAACGCAATAGTTACTTTTACTGGTAACTAGTTACTTTTATAGTGGAGTAACTCCGTTAGTAACTCAGTTACTTTTTGGGAGAAGTAACTAGTAACTATAACTAATTACTTTTTCAAAGTAACGTGCCCAACACTGCATAAATGGTACGTATTTACAAGTAATTACAAGTACAACAATATCATAACAATAATATGTATATTTATATATATTTAATAAAACATACTTAATATTTACAGTTGAGCAATGAAAAAGCAGAGAAGGGATTGGTTTGAAGGAATGGAAAGCTCCAGAAGTTCTTTCAGGGTTTTCAGCATAATTTCTGGTCAGATTACCCAGTGGTATACCTAATACCTAAAGAGCTTTGTGGGTCACTATTTGACTTTTTTGAGCAGAGAGCTGATTGGTTGAGTGGGGATGGTCCTTTACCTTTTACTTTTCTGTCTGAAAAATCCGATCTAAAGCTATGACAGAGCCCTAAAATACATCCGTGTACTGAAACTAGAACCAAAGTGTTTTGAGAGCCAGGAACTAGTGTTAAAGTTACATACCCCACAAGCCACAAGCCCCTGACAAACCCTTATCCACGATCAAATGATGTACTTTTTATTCTCTCTTGTGGATGTCTCGAGTTGTTTTACGGCCATCATCAAAACCATCTGTTGTTTCTAGTCTCCGAAGTCGCCTACAACAGTTGAACCATACAGAGGCCTTAATCCCCAAAGGAAACAGAGCAGCCTGAACTCTTCCTGTGCTGTGGATTTGCATTTATGTCCCGCTCCGTGCTCCACCTGTCGTCCAGATGCACACAGGTATTTCCTACATGCGTGGCACCAGCGTCAGTGCTTCTTGGGTCAAATAGTTCAAAACAGACGGAGAGATAAAGAGAGTGTTTCGAAAGGAATGGCAGGTTTCGATTGCTGAGGTTTTTTTTCCAATTCCCTTTTGCCAGTCGGGAAAGTTATGAGCTGTAAGTTGAAGCAGTTTGAGAATATGAAGGAAGTTATAATTGATAGCTGGTAATAGATTTATTTAATTATTTATTGGATTGGGACAAGTGTAGACCATCAACATGTGAAAGACGACAGCATTTATAGACAAGGCTTTGACATTAAAAACACATTTCACAGTTTAATGTACTTGACTTGTGCACACTGGGGACTTTTACAAATGTATTCCTTACTGCAAATGGCAAAAAAATTAATCTGAATCTGTAGGAATCAAATCAAACCATTGAATCTTTTTTGAATCCATTAGTTGTTATCATTTAAAGCAGACTTTATGACTCTATGAATATACTTAGTGTGTTTCGTTGCCATGTATTGTTGTATTGCTAGGCCTTCATGAGTAGAGTTTCTTTGAAAACAAATACAGATACATGCGACAGATTTTCCCCGTGATATTTGTCTGTTCTTTTCTGTCTGGTGAAAAGTTCAGGAGCCCCCGCTGTCGTCTAATTGACTCGTCTGCTCCAGTCCAATCGTAAAGATGCTTAAATCTACACACACTTTTGAACGCATCATTACCTTCACTTTGATGCATTATAATCTACTCCTCCCTGAACCCTTTTCTGTTTTGGAAATACCACCAAATCCACTCGCAACGACGGAGAGAGAGAGAGAGCGAGAGAGAATATACAGTTTTGAGAGCGGCTTTGATCAGAAGTGCTTGGCTTTCACATGGATACCTTTCAGAGAGCACACTAAGCACATTGGGACTTGGGAGACTTAGGCCCACTTTAAAGCCTGTTTGGGGAGCTCTGGACAGGGATCAGAGCCAACACGTTATG